CTGTGCTGGGGAGCCTGCCTTCCCCAGGCTGCCTCTCCATTTTGCTGGCCTCCCCATGATGCGGGAAACTCCCCCTTCCATGGCCTGAGACAGTCCGTCTCATTTGGTGCCTGAAAATGAGTCTGTGTTCCTCTGCAGAATCAGGTTTTTAGGATCTTAGGAGGTTTTGTAGAAAGTCTGTTGGAAGTCCAGTGAGAATTGCTGAGTCTTTGTTAGTGCCTGAAATGGAAGGTCTTTTTCCATTAACTGCTGGGTGTTATCTCCTGCTTAGAGCAGAAAATAACGTGATAGGAGTCTTTATTACTTCATTACCTCATATAACACTGTAGACAACTTTATTAGCAGGTGTTCCCACTGCAAAGAATTGTATGATAGTTCTGGCGTGTTCCCCCCCTGTGCTGCAAGCTGCAAGGACGTTCTTTTGAGGGTGTTGCTGTTTCCTTGGTGAACTGTGTAAACAAACAGTTTCCTGGAAAGGTACTGCAATATTTTGTTATTTACTTCCTCCTTGGTGTTTAGCTGCTGGGAGCATTCTGAACTAACACACCCTGTTTGCTTGAGAAATGTTAATGTTTAGGCCTTGACTCTTAAATGTAGCTGGTCACACCTGTTGGAGGTGAATGTTATTACCTTGACAGTGATGACTGAACCCTTCATGTAGGAAAATGCTTGTTATGTTGCTGAAATCTTATACATTTAAAGAAAATATGCTCTTTGGGCAAGTGCCTCTCATGGGGAAACTGTACCAGGCAGTGGTGCTGGTGAATATCCTTTTTAGCTGCTCCTTCTCAAGGTTTTAAGATCAGGGCACCTCCCTTTTTTGTTGCCTCCTTTGTAATAGGCTGGGGGCTTCCTTCTTCCCATTCCCTCTCCTGTTGACCCTTCTATATTCTCTCTCTTTGAGGCAGTGCCTGGAAGTACTGCACTTCAGCATCATACCTGGCAAACTCTGTTGTCTTTTCTTTCTCCCTACCCCACCCCAAGTCCTTGCATCCAGCATCACCTGCTTTGTCTGGCTTAACCCCTCTCCTAAAATCCTGCTCTGTTTCTGGCTCACCTCCACACTATCTAGATGACTCTGTGTCGCAGCGGTTCCCTGCCTGCCCCTTTCTCAGGTCTTTGCAGTGCAGAGTCACTGGGGCTTTCCCCTCCTTATGCGGGGATCCTGGGGATCTCTCCTCCCCAGCCCCAGGGCTGTGCCACAGCCTTATCTGGTGCAGTCCTGACGCATGCTACAGCCTTATCTGGTGCAGCATGCCAGGGCATGGGGATAGCAGGCAGCTGGGAGGAGACAGCAGAGTTTTAGCCTTTGGCCTCGCTCGCCTCCTGTCTCTTGGCTCCAAGTAAACATTGCACTGCGTGTGACTGCCAGCAAGCGGAGAGCTTCATGGGCAGGGGAGCAAAGGCCAGGTGGAATTTTCCTTAGCTTTTTTCCTCCCCATCCTAACCTCCAGGGATGAGGTGGGGATTACTGCTGTGAGATGAAGAGAGGGTGCCTCTGCAAGGTTGCAGTGCAGCATGATTCAGTCGGCTCAGATGCTCGTCTTTCCTTTGCAGAGTGTGACAGTTTCTTTTTCTAAACCCCTCTCTGAGTTCTGTCAGTTGTTGCCCTCTCTGCTTGGCTGTATTTGATGTCATAACTTACTGCCATTCACATTACTATCTATTCCTCTTTCTTTTTTGCCTATAAAAGGTCATGTAGGGAGGGCAGTACGATTTGACAGTGAGAGATAACCGCTGTCATGAATGTGTACAGTTTACACAGTAACTGTGCAAAGCGAGTAGAACTGGTTTAGCAAAGCACTGTAAGTATCTCTAGTCAGTGGGTACAGTCAAGCTCTATCTTAAGACTGTCTTTCCATCTCTGTCTTACCTTTTCAAAACCTTGTTCTGTGGTTAGAAATGAGAACATCTCTCACCTGAGTTTATTTATGGTCAGTTCCTGATCTTTTTTTTTCCCCCCTGCTACCCTGTCCCTTTAATTCAAATAGCACATCTTGCTCTCCAGTGGCTCTGGTGACTGTAACCGTGAGGTATAAAACCTTCCTGGGCTCCAGTTTGTGCTAGGTTAGAAAAGCTTGAGCAGTGCAAGCCTCCTCTGGCACAGTCAGGTGCCTCTTGGTAGAAGTCTTCACCCAGCGCTTTAGGTTGAAATTCAACTTTCTTGAATGAATTTTACAGACTATTTGCAAAGCATTTGTAATGCTGTTACAATGCTGGTCTCTCTATGACAGTGCCTCATGCAGCTGTAATGTAGGACCGCACCTTTCTTTTTCAAGACTGCCATTACTGTCTCACACGTGGATTTTTCTGCCCTAATGAGCCCTCAGTTTACAGACCAACTTTTAAAAATAATATTTCTTAACAAGGATGTGTCTAAACATCTCCCCAGAGGCAGGGGAAAAAAAAAACCAGCCAACCCCAC